TACTCAAAATCTCACGTTTGTTAATTTTTTTAAATTTGTTTGCTAAACAACATTATTGTTTTTTTCTTGTTTTTTTTTATTTTGTTCAATTTTTCCATTTCTCATATGTACATAATCAACTACTACATAGTTCTCTTTTATTTAAATTTTTCAAACTTCTAAATTCATTTTGAGCTTAAAGTAATATAAAATTATTTGAATTATCCTAGTCTTTATTGGACCCTATGGCCAGATAGGGCACGAGTAGGCTTGTAGCCTGTTCCCAAAATAAGCTTTGTGATTATATTATCCAATATTGAAATGTGAGGATATTTAAAGAGAAAAATAGAATCTACTTTCAAAAGTTAAGGCAATTTTTTAACTAAAAAAGGATTATTCTGAAATGTAATTAAATTTTAGTTCATACATTCTCTTTTAATTTAAAAATCTTCATTTTTTCTTTGCATATATTTATTTACTTTTATTAGATTAATCAGAAAATATAATTACTTTATATTTGCATTCTTTTCGTCTCTTTTATTACGTCATCATCCAAGCATTCATTTTTACCGGTAACGCGTCGACTGCCTCAGATGTGTTGCGCTCCTCTTACTTTTCTCTCTTTAAATATTAAAAACATAACCGGAAATGCCACTACCATTCTTTTTTTTAAATAATTATTTTCTTGCACTCCTAAATATAAACAAAATAATTATCTTCTTTCCGACAAATAAAAAATCTTTCTATGTGTATTTTGTATTTCGTTTTTAAAATAGAAAAATTTTAAATTAATTTGACGAAATAAAATACAAAAATAAAGCTTAGTTATTTGTTTATTATTCCGAAACAGATTTTAAAAAGCGAAACAGCGAAAATATGGTGAAAGATGAAAGGCGAAACGGCACACCCCTGTTAGATAATTTTAGTCTAATAATGTTCGACAGTTAATTTTTTCAAGATAAACCTTCTTTTCTGAATCTATCGACATTAACATACTTCTGAGTTTCCAAGATTACTGTAACCCCCCCCCCCCCCCCCCCCCACTTTTACTGAAATTCCTTGGATAATGAATTGGATGTAATACAACTTCTTTTACGTTTGAAGTGGGTTGACGTAAAACGGAAGTAACATTTTATCGTGGAGGCCTATTATTTAGATTTTACTGTAAAAAACAAAATATTTTTTATTATTTTATTTAGTAATTATTTAGCAACTTTTTATGATAAGAAATAATTTTATTTATTTAATTCTATTTTCCCCTTGTATTTATTATTTTTTGAAATTTTATTTTCAAATCGAATGATTATTTATTTGCCTTTTGGGTGTTTCTCTCTATCTCAATAAATTTTATATGCGGATCTATTTTATTTATTTCATAAATAGTACGTCATCCATTTAATATTTTGTTTTATTACTTTTAAAATTATTTACGTTAAGATGTTTAAAATACTTAAAAGAAATTTAACTTTAAATTAAATTTCTGGTTATTTTTAATTGTTAAATTAATTTTATTTTGATTGTCAATTCTGATGTTTAATAATTTGTCCTGATTTTTATTCAGGTATTTCATGGATAATTAATTCTTTAATTTTTAAAATACCCTCATTTTATATGTAAATTCTTTTTTCTATACTTTTTTTTGGCTGATTTTTAACACTTCCTCGTATTTCAATAATAATTCCTGAAACATTGTTTTTATTTCCTTGCACTAAAATATAAATATTTACATATAATCCTTTCCGTTTTCTTCTTTAGATAAATATATTTGAATAATTTTTTTTATTTTTGAAATTTGTTAATAAATTTCTACTTAAATTTGAAACTAAAAATTTATTTCTATTTTACGAATTAAACATTTTATTCTGAGTTCTTTTTTTAAACCAAGTTCTACATTTCAAAACGAATTCATTTGTTTTTAATTTTTTCTTAAAGCTTGATAAAAAAATTAAAATATAACTTTTTTATTTAAAAATACTTGAATATTTTATCAGAACAGCAATTTTTATTTAAAGAAAATATTCAGCCTAATAATCATGGAAAATCTGAAGTTTTCCATATTTTACTAGTTGATTTAATTTCATTCCAATTTTTGCGACAGATGTTTGAAGAGATTTCAAAAAATCAAACAAAAATTACAATTAGAATTGTTAGGAAATTATATATTTTTATAATTTTAATAAAATATATCCAAACTTTATGGATTTATTTTAATAAATTAATAATCAAAAAATATTTTCTAGTTATTAATTAATATATCAAAAATATTCTTTAATTTAATCTTTAATTTATTAGCCTAAATTCTCCACTATAAATAATTTATTATTTATAAGATTTTGATTATTTCGATGATTGTTCATAAATTTATTTATTTTAAAAATTCTTTTTTAAACATTCATTCATTTTTATATTACTAAAATATAATTTTATAAATGAGGTGTTTCTCCATCTAAAAATTAAAATAAAATAAGCAAAATAGGCGAGAAATAAAAAAATAAATATAATAAAATAAAACTTTATTTATTTAACTAAAAATATTTTTTGTTAAATAAATAAACATTTTAACAATTAAATTAAAACATAAAAAATATAATAAATAAACTAAAGAATATTTTTAACATAAAAAAGACTAAAAAAATTGAGGAGAGGAGATGTTTGCATATGAGGTGATATAAATTATATTTTTAATATCTATGTAAATACTAGCTATATTTATTTTTAAATTTTAGGTCATTTCTTAAAGAATTATCTAAGGAAATAAAGTTAATCACCACTAGCTACCAGGGATCTAGACGACATACAAATTAAATTCTCGATCAGAAAACGTCGAGAATTTACGATTTTCAGGAATCGGAAATGCTAAATCCGTCTGTTAGTTATATGTGATTGAGACGAAATTTTGATCAAAAATCTTGGCTATCGGGGTTGAGATTCCTGACGATAAGCCTTTAGATTTGTCAAAATTATTCGAAATCAAGACCGAGAGTAATATACAAACCCCGAACTATTTCCAATTTCCATTTGACAACCTTATAACTTAATTTCTCTATTTATTTTTTCATTATTTTCTTTCATCTTAAAATGGTGTACCAAAAATACCTTACTGCGCATAAATTTACCTTAAAATTTATTTATATATTTTGTAGCTAAAAACATTTATATTCTAAATATATTTTTACATTCAAAATTATCACCTTTTTTTAAATTCTCTCTCTATTCAGACATTTGTTTTAAAACTAAAAAAGTGTTTATTCATTCTTTGTTTTACATAACCACACCTTTTTTTTAAATTTCTCGAAAAGTCTTTGACCTTTTTTTTATTTTAACACCTCCTCAAACATATTTAAAAGTGGGGAATTTATATAAAATTATTTATTTAAATATTTTTTATTTTATTTTGGTTAAATAGCAGAAAAATTTTTTTTATAAAGTTTACCAGTATTTTGTTCATGTATATTAAAGTTCATAATAGGAGCATTATTTTACAAAAAATTTGTTTTTTAAATTATTGATTTTAATAGAAATATTCGGAAAAAAAGTTTGAAAATCGTTTGCGTCCAAACTTTTGTCCGTGACTGTATATTTTTATAATTTTTAATAAAACATCTACCTATGTAGTTTGTACTTTATCTAGTATAGGTAGGTGCTAATTGGATACGTGCTATATCAGAGAACGTTCAGATAAAAATAAATTTGCGATTTCGAAAAGTTTCCGATTCCCTAATATATACAACCGGTCGGTACCTGGACCATCCCCTGATTCAAACTCTCTATTCACCTACTATACATATATTAAGGTAACTTATAAAAATTATGTAACTTTATATTTTATAAATTTATATCTATTGCTTTAAGTCAAAATTCAAAAACAATTTGTTTCTAATCTTTAATCATTTTTAAAAATAATATTTTTAAAATTTTTACTAAAAATATTTTTTAAAAATTTCCTTGCTTCCTAATTCTAAAAATATTTTTATATCAGACATTTTAAATATTTATTTGAAAACAGCTGTTTTCATATCAAAAATAAATATACTGAATATTTTGTAACAAAAATATTTTTTTAATTTCAATAAGTTTCAATCTTGTAAAACTAAAAATATTTATTTATTAATTAATTTTTAAAAATTAAATAATTTAATTTAATTTTCTTCACAAATAAATCTTTCTTTTTTCTTTCATTTTATATCTTTCCAATACTGCACGCACCATTTGTTTATTTGTTGGATTATTTACACGTAAACAGTAGCGGGGTGATATTTATTGTCATTTAAAATAAATTTTCATAAAAAATTGTTTTTTTTTTTTTTTTCTTTATCGAACACAAATAAATAAGTGTGAAACAATAAAATAAAACTCCTGGATCCACAGGGATCACTTATGGAGAGGTAACGTACAATAAAAAAAAAACAAATAAAATATGACTGTTTTAAAAAAAATGTTAAGTTGTAAAAAAAAATAAATAATGGACTCCACAGAAAAAATAAATTAAATGTATAAAATTAAATGCCATAAAAAATATATAGGTATGTATATTTGGGTATATAAAAAATATTTGTATTAAAACTAATTTTATTTAAATGTTGAGTAAATTTGTTTAGGTAAGAAAGTGAACATTTGGGTTAGGATTTTATGTTAATACACTCCATTAATTCATACTCATAAATTATAATCTTCTGTGGTTAATATTTTGTCTAAAAATTTTTTAAATTGCGGTATAGTACTGATTTTTTCAATTTCTTTTTTTGGAAGTTTATTCCACCTATCTATGACTCTATGTGAAAAGAAATGATTATTTTTGGCTTGCTTTTTGAATAGCTGATATTTATGTAAGCGCGGATTAATTCTATTAGGTTTTGAAAATATTTTTTCTGGATTTATTTTATAGAAACCCATGATTATTTTGTAGGTTGTCATAAGATCAGTTTTTATACGACGGAGATTGGAGGGAAGGAGTTTGCATCTTTTTAGTCTTTCGTTATATTCTATTTTCTGGTATTTGTATTTATATCTTAAAATTCTCCTTGTAAAGCTTTTTTGTGGTCTTTCTAATTGTTTATTAAGATATTCTAATTTGGGGCTAAAATTTTCGGTGGAATACTCCATAATGGGTCTTACGTATGTTTTGAATGCTTTTACATATGTTTCTATTGGTAATGTTTTTGGTAATATTCTTAGGATATTGTTTATTCTTATAAATGAGGATTTGGTAATTTTTGATATATGATGATCAAACTTTAGCTTGTTATCTATGTATATACCTAGATCTCTTATGTTATTAACCTCTTCGATTTTTTTACCATTTATCTCATAATTAAACCTAATTTTATTGTATATTTTTAAAACCTTTACTTTTGCTATAGAGAATTTAAGTTGATTCATTTCTGACCATTTACACGCATTGTCTATAGCCCCCTGTAACTCTATACAGTCCTTTTCCGTCTTAATTTCTGAATAAATCTTAAAATCGTCCGCATAAAGTTTTACTTTAACATTTTGTGGAATATATTTTGGAAGGTCATTTATATAAATTAAGAAAAGTAATGGACCTAAGACTGTCCCTTGTGGGACTCCTGTTTTTGGGATAAATGGTTCGGAAAAATGTTCTTCTATTTTTACACTATGTGATCGATTTGAGAGAAAATTCGCAACCCATTGAATTATTAACCTATCTATTTTTAATTCTTGCATTTTTCTAATAAGTATTTCGTGGTTTACTTTATCAAAGGCTTTCTCAAAGTCAAAATATATAACATCTGTACCTATTTTCCTGTCAAGTGAACTATACCAGTCTTGCATCGATGATAAGATTTGAATTGTACAAGAGCTTTTCGGTAAAAATCCAAATTGCTCTTCTGCGATTAATTTTTGTTTGTTAAGGTGTTCTAAGATATTATTTGCTATAATACGCTCAAAAACTCTACAAGTCGGGGATGTTAAAGCAATTGGTCTGTAATTTTTTGGGTCGTTTACCGAACCCTTCTTTTTAAATATCGGTAGAATGTGGGCTGTTTTCCATAATTCAGGGACTATTCCTGTTTTAAATGTATTTTTATATAAAATTGAGAGAGGGAGAGCTAAGGGGGTAGCACATTTTTTTAGAAAATATTGGTTGATATTCTCAGGACTATGGGATAATTTATTTGGGAGCTTTTTTAATAGTTTTTCTATTATATATGGTTCAAAAGTGATTTCTTCCTGATATTCGTCCTCAGCTACGAGGCTTGCTTGTATATTGTTTTTACCTCCACTAACTATTTCTTCAAAAATATTTCTAAATTTATTTGCTTTGTCTGTGTCGGATATTATGGGGTCGCCTTCCTCAGATTCCTTAAGTATAGGTATACCAGAGAAGTTAAATCGATTTCTTTTCATTAATTTATGTATTTCCCCTATGTGTCCAGATCCTATTTTTTTCGATAGATAGTTGTTTTTATATTTTCCTATTTGTAATTTACATTTAATTTCAAGACTTTTATAATTCTCTTTACTAATTTCCCCTAATTTTAGCTTTTTCCATGCATCAGCTTTTTGTTTGATTATTTCTCTAATCTCTTTAGGGTATTTCATGGGTGTTTTCTCACCAAATTTTTTAATAGGGATGAATTTTTGAATTACTTGGGTTATTATTGAATTCAGTATTTCGGCCATTTCTGAGGGGTTTTTTTTATTAAGTATATTGTTCCAGTTATATTGAGCTAGGTACCAATTTATTATTTTATATTTCCCTTTCTTAAATAAAAATACGTTTCTTTTCTTTTTAGATGTTATTTTTTCGAATGGAAAAATTAATTCAAATACTATCGGTTTGTGGTCACTCAAAACCAAATTTTCTATAATTTCGTATTTATCTATTAATTGCTTATTTTGTAAGATAAGGTCTAGTGTATGGGAAGTATTATACATGGTTGCCTCTTTTATTATCTGATTTAAATTTAGCTTGTTCATGGTATTGTAGAAATATAAGTTTTGATTATCTTTCTGAAGTGTAAAATCCTGCCAATTTATTTTGGGAAGGTTTAAATCCCCTAATATAATATTTGAGAGATCATTTTTATATTTTTTCTTTATTAATTCCCAAAATTTTTTATCATCAACTAATTTTGTATTTGGCGGCCTATATATTAAATGGAATCTAATTCTTTTAAATTCTGAGTATATATCAAGGGTAAGGAGTTCGTAATTGTATTCGGATATTGAAAGAGTCGGAATATTAATAATTTTTATATCCTTTTTATAAATTACGCCTACGCCGCCGCCTCTTCTTTTTAACCTATCTACTCTCATAAAGTCAAAGCTATCAGAAATGAGAAGGGATTCGTTTGATATATGATCAGTTAGCCATGTCTCACATAAAAAAGCTACATGAATATTATTTTTTATTAAATAACTTTCTAACTCAAATAATTTATTTGCGGCCTTTTCTGAATTAATGGAGCGTATATTCAAGAGTAAGCAATTTAATTTTTTAATTTTTTCCTTATTTTTCTGATTGTTTATCTGTGAGGTCCCTATATCCTAATCCATGTTCACTGACTTTTTATAATGAATTTTAAGATTACGATAGCAGGCTGTACCATTTCCGTGTTTTTCATTAATTTCCTTGACTTGTTTTTTAAGGTAATTTTGAAGTTGCAGCTCTGGAGGAGTTAAGTCCCTTCTCGCGAAGGGGCTATGTCCGCCCAGTATTGGTTGATGTAATAATCTATATTGATTAATAAATGATTGTGCAGCTGAAGGTGTAGTAAATTTAACTTTTATGATGCGGTGATAATTGTTGTGCTTCTTGATTCCGTGTCTTTTTACCTCAAAAGTTTTAGCTTCCTTAAAATTTTTGTTATTGATCACAATTTGAACGTTTCTTTCTATATTTTTTATATCTTCTTGTTCATTTTCCATTTCTGGAAATCTTTCTATAACAGCATAATAACTCTTCTTATTATAAAGTTCCTTTAAATTTTCATCGAATTTTGGTTGTTGAAGTTGTTCAATTAATGTTGCAGCTTGAAGGATTTTTGGAGGCATTAGATTAGGTGGGCACCCCCAGCGAGAGGTCGGTTGTTTTGGTTCGGATAGAAGCTGGTTGTTGTTGTTTATTTGACTTGATTGTTGAAATTGCTCAAATAATGTTTTAATAGTTGTTTCAATTATTGGTTTCAGGAGTTGTACAACATTTAAGGAGATTTGTTCAATTTGTTCGGTCGATAAAATCGGAATTTTATCACTTTCACTATCCCCACTAATCGATGTGCAGGGTCTTTTCGCGTTTCCCATGATGATTAATATTTTTTAAATTATTTATGGAGGAATGAAAGAATTTGGAGGAATGAAAGAATTTGGAGGAATGAAAGAATTTGGAGGAATGAAAGAATTTGGAGGAATCTTAATACTAGGGTTTAATACTAGGGTTTAGGAATCTTAATACTAGGGTTCTGGGACAGGAAATAAATAAATAAAATAAATATTTTTTAAAAAATATTTTTAATTAGAATAGTTTATTTTTTAGAAAATAATTTATAAATTTCTTTTTTATGAACTTCTATTTAATTAAAATTACATAATCATCAAATAATTTATTTAAATTGTAAATATATTTGGGATTCTCTTATTTGTTAAATTTTTCTTGTAATTTTGAAAGAAGCAAATAATATTATTTTAGAAATAATTTCCGTATTTGCTAAAATAATTACCCAGGGTAGTTATTGTTCCAACCTCTCGCTGGAGGGGGTAATTAAAAGAGAGGGACATTATTTCAGCATTTACGGTATGCATCTTAATGATGAATTTTTAAAAGAAATTCTTTTTTTATTTTTGGTTTTTAATTATTTTTAAAATAATTATTGGAAGTGTTGCTAAATATTTTTTTAACAAAACAGTCTTTTTCTTTAAAAACCATTCTTTTTCCTTTAATAATTAATAGATAAATACCAAAATATGTAAAAATTTTGTTTCTATTTTAGTTATGTTTTGTTGTTATTTTCACATTTATTTTGCCTTTTTGAAAAAATTTAATTAAATTTTTTTAAAAAATTATTTTCTTTTCTTTTTTCTTCAAAATATTCCTATTTTTGTTTAATTTTTTGTATTTTTTCTATGTTTTGATCTAAAAATTAATAAAAAAAATAATTAAAAATTTTTTCTTCAGTCTTTTTTTTATTATTAATTTTTTACATGTTTTTTTAAATAAATATTTTCTGGATTTTTATTTATTTAAAATAAATTTATTTTTTCTTATTCAAGTGTCTAATTGACTTTTTTCCAATTTGTTGTGAATTATTTAAAGAAAAATAATTGAAAAAAAAGTAAAAGTAAAAAACAGAGGGGGGATCAACACTACTACTTACTAACGTCAAAAATACACACACAACTGGATCATTCATTTCTTCTTTTTCTAAAACATTCCTGTTTTTTTTCAATCAAATTCTAGAAAATATTTTTTTCACCACCAATATTACCACCACCCACGTCTTTTAAGGAAAAAAGAGATTGATTATATAATTAAAAATATTTTTTTATTTTATTATATCCTGATATTTGTTAAGAATTTGTATTTTTGAAATTCTAATTTTTTATTTAATTTATTACGAGAGATTAAGCAGCAATTTAATGTGCCATTTTCATTTGCAACCCACCTGGATTTTATCATTTATTTGGTAGAATATAAAATTTTCAACCCGGTCACTCGGTTTTTAAATTATTAGTATAACCAATTATTGTTCGTGGAGAATTTTTTACAAATCGGGTTAATGTTGCCAAAAATATCACCCAAATCTTTCTTCTTTAATACCTTTCTTTAACTATCCTAATAATTAATTTTTTTTTCTGATTTTTCAATTTTGAAATATTCTTTTAATTTAATAAAACAATTAAATTATATAATATAATTAAATAAATGTTCGGTAGTGGAACTGTATGTATGCAATTAAATAATTAGAAAACAATTGTTTTTTTTTATTATTTTGTTCATTAATTTTTTTATTTTTTTTTGTTTTAAAAAATACTTTGAGGGGTGTAACTGCTATTATAATACTTTTATTGTTTTCCTTTTTTTTATTCTTTTGGACAAGGGGAATTCGAGTTGCAATGTAAAAATAATTTTTTTGAGGAATCCCATAAATTTATTTTTTTGTTTATAAACAATTTAATTAATCTGTTTATAACTTTCAACAAAAGTGGAGTCCAATCACATTTTATTTATTTTTAATAAATAATTGCAGAAAATAATTCTTTCAAAATAACGTGTAGCTTTTGCTTTTAGCTTCTCGAATGTGCTAACAGGGAAAGCTAAATCAATTAAAAGGGACAAGGGAGGGATTTGATTAAACGTTTTGTTTATTGTTTGTTTACTATTTAAAAATATTTATTTTAACTTTATTTTCTTTATTTTCCCAACTTTTCTTTATTTTCTTTATTTTCCCAACTTTTATCTTTTAAATATTTCATTAACTGGGAAAAAAGTTTTTTAAGGTGAGATACAATTATTTATTTTCCCATTTTTATAAATAGTCTCAGTTTATTAAAAAATCTTATTAAAAATACTAAATCTACTAAATAACGTTTACATATTTTTTAAAAATAAAATTAAAAAAAGATTTCCCTATTTGGTCATTCTCATAATTATTTCCTTAGAAATTTGGAAGGGAAAATTAATTAATCCTCTTAATTATAATCTTGAGAATATTGCCCAAATAGGATAAAGTTTTACTTTCTGGTTCAACAAGTTCCAATACCTTATTTTTTTAAACAATTTCCCTCACTCTTATTTTCTAATCCCTTCTATATCTGAAAATATTTAAGTAATTTTTAGGAATTTGGGATTAGAACTATAAGGAATGTCTATTTAAGTAACTCTATCAATTATTTTTTTAATTATAATTTAATTTCTATTTTTGAAAATTTTATACTTTGAAAATTTTTTTCAATCATTCTTGAGTCATTAAAATATAATTAAATGTCATTTATTTTTCAAATTTATATTTTATTTTATTAATCATTCTTTATAAATATATATATACCAATTTTTGTCAAATATTTATAGCTTTAATTACTTAAACTTTGGACTAAAAAAGAGTACTTTATATAAAAAGAAACACTTTTTATTACATGTTCTTGGGCTTCCCTTTTCACAGAAAATATTAAGGATTGGATTACATTTCCAAATAATCCCCCCCCCCTCCTTTCTCACTTCTTTTTAACCTTTAGTCCAATAAATATATATCTACTACTCCAATAAATATTTCCCCTGACTTTTGGCCTAATAAACGGAAAGGAATGGATTTTTCCGCCTTTTGTTGGGCGAATAAACCAATTGTTTTTAGGATTGATTGTTGTCAAAAATTCTTTGTTAAAAAGAAAAGATTTTTTCTTTATTTTTGTTATATATCGTTCAATCACTTAGATT